GGAGTTTAAAGACTCTTCCAAGCTTGTCTTCTTTTAGAATGTGATCCTTCATTACCTCCTGTTTACCCCTCGAGGCTCTGAGCCTGCTCATCTTTCCTGGAGCAAATGTTTCAATCTGGAGGGAATGTTCAGAACGTGCCCTCCAACATAGCCCCCTTTCTTCTGCTTCCTGTGGTCTTGTCTTCCCTGAAGCTCTTCCATGATCATTTTTCATGAGATGCAGAGTTCCAGGATGATAGTTATCTTACCCGTATCATTTGGGATACTCTCTGCTCCTTTTGTTTAGGCTGCTTTCCCTTGGCCTTGGCAGGTTGTGCTGTGATGGACCTTGGTCAGTCTACTCTTCAGCCACCCTGCAGTTTATGCTGTGACATTTCATGGTTTTACTGCCTCTTCCACAAATACAAAAAAGACACTCCCCACCAGCTTTGAAATGCAGGACAAACTGAGTCCACTTTCTGGCATAGTACAGGAGCTTGATATCTGATTCTTGCTGCCTATGTTCCTGGGCTCTGAGTAACTTAACTTTAGATCTTTTCACTGTAATCTTCCGTTGCCCTCTTTGTGTTATGCTTCATACTGGATTAAAAAAAAAAATGTTTTCTTGAAGCAGTCTCACTGCACAGCCCAGGCTGACTTCAAACTCTCCATCCTCCTGCTTCAGCCTTCCAAGAACTCAAGAACTGAGATAACAATAGTATGCAACCATGTGCAGTTCCTCAACATTTTAGTCATTTATTCTCTTGACTTTATTCACTGTTTTAAATCCTATTTCAGTTCTTTTCTTTCTTTGAGGTAGGACTTTGCTGTGTAGTCCAGACTGGCCTTGAACTCATACTATCCTGCCTAGCTTTCAGAGTGCTGGGATTACGGGCTTGTACCACAATACCCATCTCGACCTATTGAATTTTTTTTGTTGGTTTTTTTTTTTTGTTGTTGTTGTTTTGTTTTTTAAGACAGGGTTCCTCTGTGTAGCACTGGCTGTCCTGGAACTCGCTTTGTAGACTAGGCTGGCCATGATCTACCTGCCTCTGCTTCCCAAGTGCTGGTATTAAAGGTGTGCATACCTACTGAATTAATTTGGGTTACTGTAGTTCCTAGTTTTAGAATTTCTTTTTTGTAGTGTTTGTGGCTTTATCTATACTTAGTCTAGTTGAGGAGTGGCTTCTAGATCCTTACTTACCTGGTTTTGTTTTTACTGTGCTACCACCCCTAGGAGTAGTTGCTTTTGGTTAAGCCCCAGACTTCTTGTGAGAACCTGGAATGGACTGATAGGCTTAAGGTAATCATCTACTTCCTGCTTCCTCCCTGCCTTGCAGGCCTGAGACCATTTTTTTCTTCTGCAGGTGGATGATGAACTGGAAATCAAAGCATACTATGCAGGCCATGTACTGGGGGCAGCCATGTTCCAGATTAAAGTGGGCTCAGAGTCTGTGGTCTACACGGTCAGTGCAAGTACTTGGCTTGAGTGTAGCTGCTGGGGTAGAAAGACACCTTCCTCATTGTCATTTTCTTTGCCAGGGTGATTATAACATGACCCCAGACCGGCATTTGGGGTGAGTAGGCCTGTCTTTCACCCCGTGGGAACTTCCTGGAATCTAAGAGGCATCATAGTGGGCATTTAAATGCTCAGCACTTCCGTGGTCCTCCCATGCATTATGGAAGTACCTGTGGAAGTCTGGGCTAGAGGCTCTTTTCTCCTGTTGTCTCCCTAAGAGTATGCCGTCACGATGTTTGACGGGCCGTGTAGAAGGCTCATGTCACGGTGATCTAGAGATGTGCTGTGTTGGGGCTACAGTCCACTTTGCTCCCAATTCTGCAGCCATGAGCAACCCACTATGCCTATTTCTATCTCTGTTGTAGGGCTGCATGGATTGACAAGTGTCGCCCCAACTTGCTAATCACAGAATCCACGTATGCCACAACTATCCGGGATTCCAAACGCTGCAGAGAGCGAGATTTCCTGAAGAAAGTTCATGAGACTGTGGAGCGTGGTGGGAAGGTACTGACTATAGCCGACTCTGGGTGTGTGCCTGCTCTGGCCACACAGTATGGTCTCCAGCAGGCTTTACTGCTCTCCGTGTGGTCAGGGTCTCTGGGTGTGGGGGTTACTCTTTATTTGGTGCTGAGATGACAGATTCCAGAGTCTTCTATTCCCTCATGTTTGTATCCCATGAACGGCTGTTCAGGAGCCTCTCATAGTTCCTGCTGTCTCTACGTGTGGCGTGTGTGTGTGTGTAAAACCCTGTAGTTCTTAAATGTCTGGCTATCCCTTTGCAGTAATGCTATCTGAACGCTGTCATTCAGCCTGCCAGCAAGGGTGTATATAGTGAACATCTTGCTACTTGCTGTGTTCAGGGAAGGGTAATGTGGCCAGTGGCTCCCACCTGAATCAGCCTCACCTGCCCTCAGGTGCTGATCCCTGTGTTTGCACTGGGCCGGGCACAAGAGCTGTGCATCCTGCTGGAGACCTTCTGGTAGGTACAAACAGGAATATTCCAGGGTGGGCAGGAAGGCATGGAACAGGCTCTGCATAGACGATTCCTCTTACTGCCAGGCACAGTGGAACTGTGGAGAAGTCAAGGCAGCAGTGACTACCACTGGGTACTGTATGTCCAGGATACAGTACTGTTTGCCCTGCTGTCCTGGGCGGAACTGTGCATGTACTGGGACATCACATTTGAACCATTAGCTGTGGGCTGTATTTGTCACTGGATGGACTACTGATCTCCTTACATGAGCTCTGGGGACCCCTTCCACTCCCATGTTTGTTTTATAGGATATAAGCTGAGAGGTCTGGCCTGGTGGTCATCAGGGTAGAGACAGCACAGGGGACAATGTTCAAGGGACATTGAACTCAGCCCTGGCCATAGCAGTCAAAGGCACAGGGCTACAGGTTGCAGGCTAACTCTGTCCTCCCTGCACTGACTGGGCTGGTGGACACACAGGGAACGCATGAACCTGAAGGTGCCCATCTACTTCTCTACGGGCCTGACAGAGAAGGCCAACCACTACTATAAGCTCTTCATCACCTGGACCAACCAGAAGATACGTAAGACTTTTGTCCAGAGGAACATGTTTGAGTTTAAGCACATCAAAGCCTTTGACCGGACATTTGCTGACAACCCAGGTCCCATGGTAAGGCCCTACCAATGCAGCTTTTCCTCATCTGGCCTTCAAGGATCCCTGCCCGTGGGGTTTCAGGAAAGAGCCCCTTTCCTGAAATAACCTGGTGCTTATTGCAGCCCTGGGAGGAAAGGTCTACTCTTCTGACCCTTGTCAATCCTGCAGGTTGTGTTTGCCACACCTGGGATGCTGCATGCTGGCCAATCTCTGCAGATCTTCCGAAAGTGGGCAGGAAATGAGAAGAACATGGTGAGGGCTTGGAGCCAATTCCCAAAGTGGATGGGGCTTGTCTTAGGGAACTGGAGTACAGAAGGACTGGCCCTTGAACTTTCTGTTTCTTAATCCCATAATGACTTTGCTGCTGCTGTGTTCTACCAGCAGCAGCCCAGACTGAGTATTCAGGTCAGGGGTTGTCCCAAGAGGAAATGTTTATGTTGGGAGGCCACCTCTGCTTTCAGGTCATCATGCCTGGCTACTGTGTGCAAGGCACTGTGGGCCACAAGATCCTTAGTGGGCAACGAAAACTGGAGATGGAAGGGCGTCAGGTGGTGAGTACCTCCCTGTCCTGGGCTCAGCAAGGCTCCCAGGCTTTTACTGCTGCTGCTAACTGCCTGCATCTTGTGACACCACAGCTGGAAGTAAAGATGCAAGTGGAATACATGTCATTCAGTGCCCATGCTGATGCCAAGGGTATCATGCAACTGGTGGGACAAGCAGAGCCAGAGAGTGTGCTGCTGGTGCATGGCGAGGCCAAGAAGATGGAGTTCTTGAGGCAGAAGATTGAGCAGGAATTTCGTAGGCAGCTGGTGGGCAGGGATGGCCTGTGGGATGGTACAGGCAAGGCTGCCAGCCTAGACTGAGACTCTGTATCACTCTCCTCAGGAGTCAGCTGCTACATGCCGGCCAATGGCGAGACAGTGACGCTGCCCACAAGCCCCAGCATTCCTGTAGGCATCTCCCTGGGGCTGCTGAAGCGGGAGATGGTGCAGGGTATGAAGGGGAGACTGGGACACGGGCCGAGGGAGGCAGGTAATTGGTGCTTGTGTTGACTGCAGTATTCCTTTCCTCACAGGACTGCTCCCTGAGGCCAAAAAGCCTCGGCTCTTGCATGGCACACTAATTATGAAAGACAGTGTAAGTGTGTAAAGAGTGATGGGGGGGTAGCATTCATTACTTCCTCTGACTAGCTTGCCCTTGCCCCACAGAGTTTCCGGCTGGTATCCTCAGAGCAAGCCCTCAAAGAGTTGGGCCTGGCTGAGCACCAACTGCGCTTTACCTGTCGTGTGCACCTCCAGGACACACGCAAAGAGCAAGAAACAGCCCTACGTGTGTACAGTCACCTCAAGAGGTGCGCTCTGGCCTTGCCCCCACCCCTACAGGCAGGGTGAGGCAGGGATCTTACTATGCCTCTCTACAGCACCCTCAAGGACCACTGTGTACAGCACCTCCCTGATGGCTCTGTGACTGTGGAGTCCATTCTTATCCAGGCTGCTGCTCACTCGGAGGACCCTGGTACTAAGGTGCTATTGGTCTCCTGGACCTACCAGGTAAGGATGGGTGTCAGTGGTTTGCCTGGGGCCTCACTTCCTTGGCATTAGGTTGTCCGTGGGTAACTGTGCTTCCCTTTCTTCTAGGATGAAGAGCTGGGAAGCTTCCTCACAGCACTGCTCAAGAATGGCCTTCCCCAGGCGCCCAGCTGACCTGCAACCTCAGTAACCCACCACTCTGTCTCCTGTTTGCCCAGCAGAAGGACCAGGACTTTGGCTTTGGGAAGTGGGTGCCCTGAGACCCTGAGACAGATTCTGTCCTAGGGACAAGATCAGAGTCACAGGCTGGCTACAGTAATAAACAGGCCTTTTTTACTCTATGCCTTTTATTCCTACTCCCTTATCCCTAGAGGATGGGGCTCCCAGGAAAACAGAAGCTACTTGGGTGCTTACAGCTGTTTCCTGCCTGGCACCCCATCATTAGTGACAAAGTGATGTCCACGGTGGAAAGACTGGGGAGGTGGGAGCTGCAGAAAGGTAGGCAGGACTACCAGAGCCCCACAGAGCTGTGGGTTAGTCTCTGCTGAGTGCAGTAAACACTGAGTAAGGCTGTCGGTCAGACAGTCTGCTGTGTGGCTCTTCACCTCCACTGAGGGTACAGTCAGCTGGTTTCCACATTGGACCTTATAGGGCTCAGGATGTAGGACCTATAGATAGACCCTCGGTCAGAGCAGAACTCCTACAGTTGCATCCAGAGACCCCACCTGTGGACCACTCAACCCAGGCCACCACGCTTTTTGGTCACTGGTCCCCAACTGAAGTCCTTTCTCCCACTGTCACTGATTTCCCCACTAGGTGCTTGGATTCTCATCTAGTACGGTGCGGGGGGGAGGGGAGGGTCTGACTGCCTCTAAAAGGCCCCTACCCTCAGTGAGGACCTAGGTCTTTCCCATCCCATCCCCTCTTACCGAAATCATCATATAGCACTGACTTCAAGAACAAGCCACGGGCTGGGGCAACTCGAGTCTGATACTTGCCCAAGGGATCTTGACTCTCCAGAATGGCTTTCACCTGTGTAGGTGTCAGGGTCCCTTGCCCCACAGCCACCAGCACAGCTGTCATCCTCCGTACCTGCAGTAGAGCTGAGATGGTCACAGGTGTCTATCTGATGCACCTTGGGAGGGTCTAGTACAGCCTACCTGTCGATACAGGAAAGACTGGCTTTCAAACTCCAGCGTCCAGAACTGCAGCTTCCTAGGAACACAGAGGGCTTTGATGTCCAAGCTACAGGCCAGCCCCAGCCATCCTAGCCCAACATGTGGCCTCAGGCAAGATAAAGATTGAAGTTCTGGTTTAAAGGCTCATCCATCCAGCGTGGGTTCTTGCCTAGTTGACCACCAGTTCCAGAGATCGAGTGGGTATTGCACGACTTTTCCTGGCGTCTATATAAGCAGACAACTATGTAACAGAGTCATCAGCCTGTGCACAGGAGACAGCAATTGCTTTGAGCTTTCCTTCATGTGGAAAGGCCACAGTATGGGTGTGGAGGTAGGACAGGAACCCTGGCCTAGTCCTTCCTCCCCTGGGGGCTGGCATTAGCTGCAGTGTTCTCAAGGTCAGCAGTTGGTTCCCGGTGGGAAGTCCACTAGGCAGTGCTTGGGGCAGAGAACTTATGCAGTCTGTCAAATTGGACTGGAACTACTACTCCAATGAAACCTTTTCAATGACTGCCAAGTCCATCTGCTACAGAGAGCTATGGGCATGGCAGGGTCCTCAGAAAGGCAACATTCTCTACCCTGTGCTCCCCAGCCAGACAGGAAAGCTACTGGTTCATCTCTTAAGTGGCCAGCACCTTCCACCCTCTAGGCCTTATGGATGACCAGTATACCAGTTTAGCATCAGCCTGCTGTTTTTACTGTTTTGTTTTTTTCAAGACAGGGTTTCTCTTTGTAGCTCTGGCTGTCTAGGAACTAGATCTGTAAATGGAGCTGGCCTCTAATTCACAGAGATCAGCCTGCCTTTGCCTCCCAAGTGCTGGGATCAAAGGAGTGCACCACCACCACCCAGGGCATCATCCCATTTTTATGGGATTATTATGAGGTCTAATTTAACCCTGGTGGCCTCTAGACCAGCAGCAGACAATAGTGCAAAGCACACTTCTCACCTGCTCTCCTGGGGGAGGGCAAATAGGCTGGCTGGACCAGAAGACACAGAGACTCTTCGTAGTGTGCGCACGGGATTTGTGGTTGGGCTGCCGGCAGACTGGAAAGCACTGAAATCATGTGTCCCGACGAGGTGCTGGGCAGCCTCCTGCATGGCAGCCACATCCAGGCACCTGCAGAGGCAGATAAGCATTGAGGAGGGCCCAGCCAGATGCTGGTGAACCATTTCTTCCCGTTCTTGGTTCACTCACTTTGTCTGGAGAGCCCAGCATACATTCTGCTCAAACACGGGCAGCTGATCAGGCCAGGAGCAGCCTGTGGCCAGACGGTATAGGTAGGTTCTGGAGGTGGCTGCACGGCGTGCATGGAAGTCATTGGGCACTCGGAAGGCCTTCAGTACGCTGTGGCAAACAAATCTGGCTCATCCCGGGAAATCTCCCACTCACCTCTAAGTTGCCCAGAATACAATGTCGTTCTGGACCTCAGACTTCCTCACAGTGAGGTGTGGGGTACATTAGTAAAGAACAAAGACCAGAACCACACTCAATCCCCGGCTCACCGAATGTCGCGGTGCTTCAGGTGGGTGTTGAGGGCCTGGGTCACGACCTCCGGGGAGTAAGGCGGCAGGCCGGAGCGGCGACAGATGTCCAGGTGCGCCGCGTTGCTCAAGGCATGCACCCCGGCATCAGTGCGGCTGGAGATAGTAAACCTGACGGGCTCAACGGAGTTCAGGCGCTTGGCGGCCTCCTGCAGGGACAGGGTGCGGGCCGGGATTGGGGCTGTCGGCTGCTTCTCCCCCCCATTGTCCCCAAGAAAAAACAGCTCACCTCCAGGAAGTTCTGCACCCCAACAGCGCGATGGTTACCCCTCACGGCCGCGACCCCACTGCGGAGAGATAGAGCAGGGAGTTATCGGTAGCGTCTGCGGGAGCTGTCCCGCCTGGAGTCTCGGCCCCTACGGGCGTCTCGCGAACCCCCTGCGAGCCCGAGTGGAGACACCGGAGGTGATGACAGGGAAACGTACTTGAAGTCCGTGCCCAAATACTGGAAGAACACGAGGTAGCGCGCGCGCACAGGACCCACAGTCCCGCAGGAACCCATGGTGGAGTAGCTGGTGGGCGGGGCGGTTGCACGTGGCCGGCGGTCCGCCCTGCCCCGCCGCGAGGCGCCTGCGCACTCACTCGGCTCACCCCGCCCGGCCTCCGGGACCGAGCAACGGAGGCGGGGCCAAGCTTAGGGAGCGGGTGCGAAGTGCCGTCCTCCGGGCCCGAAGGGGCTCACTGTCCTCTGCCTTACAGGGCGCGGCGACGGGTTGTTTCAGCACGAGTGTCCTCCTTAATTTGTTCACCCCTTCACTCCCGATCTCCCCGCCACCGTCCCGTCCTCCCGGAATGTGTCTGTCTCTGCGTTCTGACCAAGCGCTCCCAAATGTTGTTTTGTAAATTTCCTGAGTTTAACCAAGACAGGGATGCCCGAAGTGAGACAACCGCGCCCTTCCCTTTCTCGCAGCCGGGCCGACCTCTCTGAATCCCAACCGCCGCGGCCGGCCCAGCTGCTTGACCCGGGTGGCTGAGGACAGAGGACGGTGACAGGCAACGGGGTGCAGCGGCGCATTTAGCGACGCTCCCTGGAGGTGACAGCGGGTGGTGCAGGCGGCGGCGGACTTTGGCGACGCTCCCCGGCGGTGACAGGCGGGGCGGGGCAGCGGCGCGCCGGCCTCATTCCGAGGCGGGCGGGCGGGCGGGCGCGGAGCGCTGCGCGGGCGCGACGGACCGTCCACCGGCCGGGGATGCCGCTCGACGCGTCGTGGTCCTCGGTTCAGTGAGCGCCGCTCGCCGCAGCCATGACGGTAGAGTTCGAGGAATGCATCAAGGACTCGCCGCGCTTTAGGTGTGCTGTGGGCCTGGGATAGGGCACGGTCAGGGATGGGTAGCCGCCTTTGTGCCGGGGGCGGGGAAGGGATGCCCAGCATCGTGACCGGTCCGAGTCCACCTGGACGGAGCAGAAGACCTGGCCTGGATAAACCTGCCGGAGCCGGAGTCGCGGTCCCCAAGCCGCGCAGCTCCGCCTCCGGCCTCGGGGGACCGGAACAAAAGACGCCCCTGTCTGTGCTGATCACCTCCCGCGCGGGGGGTGAGTGCTCGGACTGCCTTGGGCAGCCGTGTACCGCCGGGCATTTGCGTTCAGTGCCACCTCTAGAACTGTCCACTCTCCTTTGTGTTTGTGCTTTCGTATGTCACTAGTACTGAGCTCCCCGTGGGCCCTGTAGTCCAGTTCTGGCTAGGATTGTCTAGAGCCCTGCTTCGCCTGTCCCTGGTTTCTGTCTTGGCCCATATGTCCAGAGCAGTGTATGGGTGCAGCCAGCTGGAGCAATCAGAGCCTGAGATGGACACCCTGGTGAAAGTGAAGAAGGGTGGTATGAGTGACCCGGGCTCCTGGAGGGGTGGGGGTTGTGGGGACGAGGAAGTCAGGCTTAGGTGGGAGGGTATGGACCTTGTTCACTTATGAGTTTGTTTCTTTTATTGTTCCTGGACATACAGTCGTGCACGTCTGTGTGAACCACATGGCCACACAGATATACATCTGTTTCATTGGTTGACATTTGGCAAACAGTAATGGAGTACCTCCTGTGTGTCGTTTGAAATTGTATACCTTCATGAGGTCCCCTACCTCTGTGTGTGCATATATACAGGGGAACATGTTCTGCCACTCTGCCCCTCCTTTGAGGAGGTGCCAGACCATGCACATGGATGTGTAGGTGAGCTGCAACACGGGGTTGGTGCGCTTGATGCATGCACATAGAGGGTGCACACATGTATGTGCGTGTGCCACCTCTCTGTGGATTCACGAACCATGTTTGCCATGCAGCTGTGTGTTTTAACATGGGTGCACATGCCCATGCACATGTGTTCACCGTGTCCGTGGAACACACATGTCTGTGTGCCCAGTGCTACTACATGCGTGCATGCATGCATATTTACGTATAAATATGTATGTGTGCCTTTGCACATATGTGCTTGACCACATTTGTACATGCAGTTCAGCTCTTTTCAAAACCACCGTGCAAGAGAGTCAACAAGAAACACCTCAAGAGCCTTGGCGCATTGGTTAGCCAAGAGTGTCCGCTGACTGTAGGCAGGGAACTTGAAGCAATCTTCATCTCTGCGTTCCTATTTTCTATCCCTGAATGATCGAGTGACTCAGATACCCCACAATCCTGTATCCAGGCCTGATAGGAAGCATGGCCAAGGCCTCAGTGTCAGGCACTTGGCCTCAGCTGAAGCCCCCTGACCCCTTTCTGAGAAGCTCTGGCTCCACTCTGCCTTGTGGAGGGGTTTGGGCCTTAGCAGAAATCCATTCACTTCTGGGCCTTCTCTGCTATAGCCAGCCAGTTGGACTTGTGGGCTGCAGTAGGTGTGGCAGCTGGCTAGGCTTAACATCGCTTCTTTTGGTGCATGTGTAGGGGGTGTTGTGGGAGATGACTTTCTGGACTTTGGTTCTGGTGCCATGGAAACCTGGCTTGGTGGTTTTGGGTGGGCTGTGATTTGAGGGATTTGAAGAGTACCTTGTCTACTCTAAGGTGTTACTAAGGTTATAACTTGATCTTTCTGGCCAAGAACCTTTAGGTAGGGCAGGGTGCGCCTGGCAGAAGGATGTGGAAGTGAGGTGAAGCCTAGACCCTAACCTGGAAATGGTGGGAATTTTGTTTTGGGGCTCTTAGCCTAGGATAAGGGCTTATGACAGCAGCCTTAGGAATGTCTCATAGTCCCTGAAGCTGTGGGTGGGGGTGCAGGGGAGCCCCGGAAGAGAAGCCGCCCAGCCTTGGTTGCAAGCCCTGCCCTGGGTGGGGCTTCAAGCGCTGAGTCATGGCTTTGGTGAGGGGGCTCCTCCCCAACCTCCATGCTGAGGAAGTCCCTGGCTGGCCAGACAGGCATAGGGCAGGAGGAGGATGCCTCAGGTCCTTGGCTGAGCAAGGGAGTGCTGAGAGACTCCTAGGACAGAGTGCTGGCTCCCTGAGCCTCTGCTAAGTGCCCACCATGTTCCCACGTCCCTGGGAGTACATATGTCAGCTCCTGGTGCAGCTCCTCCCAGTTCCTGGCTCCCTGGCCAGCTGCAATTCTCCATGCAGCTGTCTGGGCTGTCGGGCCTGCTTGGGGGTGTCCTGAATTGTGCTCTCCTATGCAGATAGTTACATCTGTGTTCTGGGAACTTCTGACTCCCATAGTAGCCAGCCTTCTGGACCAGAGCCTCCTGTAGTGGCCTGTGTTAGGCTCATAGCTAAAGGGCATTTTCCTTAAGCAGGGCAGGCCATGGGGTATCCTTTGGAGGCATGCTGCCAACGATTTAATCAGCTGCTGCAGCTCTATTCTTGCCTCTTCTCTGCTTTAGGATTCATGGTGCCTTGTCCCCCAAGAAGGGATGAGGCTGATGGCCAGACCCTTTGAGGGTTCTAATTGAGGCCACACTGAATTATGTCCTGTGTGTTTCTCAAGCCCTTTACTCAGGAGAAACCCTAGAACAGATCTTTCTCCTTATCCTTCTAGAGAGTAGGGCAGAAAGGGGTAAGGAGCTGCAAAACTATATGGCTATATGTCCCCTCTGGTAGCCCACCCCAAGTCAGTGGTCTGTCTAAACCCTTGGCCTGTTATGTTCCCACACAGGCCAGAAGGGCGTAGCTCACCAGCTGAGCTGATTGTTTGAGGTGGGGACTGCTGGGAGCCTGCCCTTATTTCCTTATTTCCTGTTCCCAAGTTGGAGTTTTTTTTTTTGGGGGGGGGGGGTCATGTGACTGGTCCATCTGTCTTTGGCTTCCGGGATTCTCCCTGGCTTCTCCTGGTGATGTCACCATTAACTCCTCCCTCCCCAGGGCATATCTTTTTTATCAGGCTGGATTGGTGGGAATGGGTTCTAAAGAACCTCTCCTGCTGGCTGAACTGAGCTAGATGGAGTCTTGAGGTTGAGGGAGATGGAAGGCCTGTCCCTTGCTGGTTTGAGGAGTTGTCCTTTAGCTGTTGGTTCAGAACCAGCCTTCCTTAGTGTCATTTAGCTGCAGGCCAAAGTGGCCTGGAGCTGGGCCGAAGAAGTGAGGGGACAGACTCTTTTCAGTTGAGGAGGGGCTGGCTATCCAAGTGGTATCCAAGTTCAACTCTGAGCCCCCCAGAGAGGACTGTCATGGGCACCAACATCACAGCTATGCTTGCTTACTATAGGGTGTGTGTGTGTGTGTGTGTGTGTGTGTGTGTGTGTGAGAGAGAGAGAGAGAGAGAGAGAGAGAGAGAGAGAAGCGCATGATAGCCCATGTGATATGGCTAGGTGGCTTCAGCCTATCTGGTGGACTCTGGGTAGCTCCAAAGTATTGGACCTGGGTCCCAGTTCTGTCCATCAGGCAGGTGCTTGCCCCTCTCAGTCTCAGTTTCCTGGAGCCCCCTTCTGGCAGCAAAATCCCTGGGGAGACGCAACAGGAGATGAAACTCCAGTTGACCTAACTGCCCAATTCTTGTTGTAGGGCAACCATTGATGAGGTAGAAACTGATGTGGTTGAGATCGAAGCTAAACTGGACAAGGTAAGAGACAGACCTGGTGGTCCATAAAGGGCCCAGCATTATTGGCCCACTTCAAGCCCAGTCTATATATCTGCCTATGTTGGAGATGCGTATTGGTTGGGATACAGCTGCTGTCCTTGCTGTGCCTAGTGTGACTGGGGTAGGGGCCAAGGATAAGGAAGGGAAGGGGAAAAGGAGCAAGCATCACAGCTGGGGAGGCAGGGGCTATGTGCTGCCTGGCCCTCTGACCCTGTGGGGCCATACTCTAGCCCTGTATGCTCTGCTGTGGTTTCTTCAGTCCAGAGCTGAGGCTCAGCGGGCAGCTATGTCTGGATGCTAATGGGCCTGAACTGAATTTTGGCTGCCCATGGCTGGAAGTGTATCCTGTATGGCCTGGCCTTGTGGCCTCAAGCCCTCATCCTGCCCACTCTGTCCCACTTGCAGCTGGTCAAACTGTGCAGCGGTATGATCGAAGCTGGCAAGGCTTATGTTACCACCAACAGGCTCTTCGTGAGCGGCGTCCGAGACCTGTCCCTGCAGTGCCAGGGTGACACCGTCATTTCGGTGAGGGGCCAAGGTGGGGCTGGGGGAGGGGAGGAAGCCCCCCAAAGGGTGTCTGGATCACGAACACTGGGTGTCTGCACTCTGCTTCGGTACACCTAACCCGTGGGCAGGGAGGAGTCTTTATGGACTTGGAGATGCTACATATACGGCTTAGTATGGCCTCAGCCCCACTGCTCACCTCAGTGTGGTCTTCCCCATGCTTTTCTTCAGGAATGCCTGCAGAGGTTTGGAGACAGCCTACAGGAGATGGTCAACTATCACACGGTGAGCTCCAAGGGGCAGGTGGGGTCTCCGCTTCCATCTGAGTTCACACCTCACTTCTTCTCCTGAAGACCCTACCTAGACCAGAGCAAAGCTGACTGGCTCTCAGGGAGTTGAACTGGTGGCCCTGAGTGAGAAAGGCTATGTTCCGCTCCTTTAATCTAA